TATCCTTCAGGATATGAAGACCAGCACAGAGCCAGTTAAGAAGCAGGTGCTTAACAATCTGTTATGACCTTAAATTTTTTAGAAGATAACTGGTAGACACTGCCTGTTTTAGGATAGAAAACTGCATAAAGCCGCGTCCTTTACAAGCTCTATTAGTTAACGAGATGCCCACAGCCTCGCAGACTTTAAAGTCATATTTTCATGGTTCTTGTAGAAAAGTGAAGCCTAAGTCCCAAGAGCTGTGCTTCCTCAGGAGTCACTGAATTAACACTGTGTGGAAAAGGGACCCATTAACACAGTTAACAGACCAACATCCAACTAAATCGTCTGTGAAACTGTAAAGTCCTCTGAATTGTATCAGATTATACCAACATTAGTTCCAGTCGACCTTTTTTCTCCAGTGTTGTTCTTTCTGATAGCTTCATATTCTCAGTATAACACCAGCGTCTTTGGCACTGCATCTGGGTCTGCTTTCAATACTTTGGGAGCACCTGGCACTGTACATTGACACTCTCTTTCTGAAGCTATTTTCTGGGGCCTTTTCAATCTGTTCTAGTATAAAGTCATAGTACTCAAAAGAGGTCAGTGTGAGTTTCATATCTGCCCAGGGACCATTGTAGAACCTCAGCTGTGACTGACATTCAATCTAAAATTTCGCATGAAAACTCCTTCACCGTCAACATTTTGAGAAGTGACACAATCAATTAGATGCTCTTATAAGCTTTTTTCTAAAGTTCTCTCTCATACTTCCACTGCATTTGCCTAATCAGGGGTAAGAACCTCTGAAAGGTCATGAATAATTTAGATAAGCACACACACACTTATATTCTTATAAGCCAGAAGAAAAGTCTCATGAAAGGTACAAGAATGCTCTCCTCCAGTGCAAAGCTACCCTGTCCTATGTGGCAGGTGGCTGGTCAGAATTGAGACCTGCTATGTGTGTAAGTGTTAAATGTACAATAGATTTCAAAGACCGAAGGAAAAAATGTGAAATATCTTGATCATCTTTAATATTGTTTACATGTTTAAATAATAATGTCTTAGATGTATGAGGACAATCTACCACTAAAATGAATTTCACCTTTCTTTTTACTTTAAATGTAGCTGACAGGATAATATAAATCATAAATGTGGGCCTCGTATTTCTCTGGCGCAGTGCTAGTCCCAGGCAGGAAACGCTTTCCTGGTTCCATTGCTTGAGTACCCACATGAACATTCTCCAGTCTCCTTCTGTATACACGTGCATTTGTTTACCCAGCTAAAAGAGATTAAAGTGAATGGATCATCTGCAGAAAGGGGCCCATTTTTCTGGCAGGCACTCACAGCTTCTTTCAAGGGCGTCTTTAAAATCAATGGTGTAGGACACCCACTGGCGGGTTAGGAAAGACTCTGTGAACCCCCAGATGCTGATATTCATGGATCTGGCGCCGGGCTCTGATGCAAGGCCAGTGAAATAGATGGGCTCCCTGGTGAATGTGTACGTTTGCCAGCACTGACCTTCATCTGTGGAGAACCTGAAATCACAGTTAGGGAAAGATCATGACAGAGGACCAACGTGTACTGGGAATATCAGGAAAGCACTCTGGTTGTTTGGTCTCTAACAAGGGGGAACCCCCATATATAGGTGATGGGTTCCTGGTTGACAATTATTTTAATTTTTTTTGTGGCACTAGGGCTTGAACTCAGGACGTTGTGCTTGCTAAGCAGACAGTCTATCACTTGAGCCACTCCTCCATCCCCATTATTTTAATTTTAAAAATAATTTGATTAGCATATATTAACTGTACAAAGGGGTTTCATTGTGATATGTCTATTCACATTCAAATTTACCCCTTCTATTACTCTTTCTTATTCTCCCTTTCCCCTTCCTTTTTTAGTGGGTTTCAGTGTTCTATTTTCATACATGTATATAAATACTAGTTAACAGGTAGGGAAAAGGATTCATTCATAGAAAGTATGGAAGTAAATACCTTTATAAAAGTTCTTTCAAAGGAAAGAAAGGGTAGTTAGTGACCCAGGAAAGAACGGGCTTTTAAATTAATAAACTCAAATTATTTTGTAAGAGCTTTTACTTAAGAAGTAATTTCCAATCCAGAGTACTTTAACATTTCCATAATATTTTTGTGGAAAGAATACTTTTTAAAAATGACAAAACCTATTAGTTAGGAGTCAGAGGAAAAAGAAATGTCATTTAATCTGATTTTCTCTAAACACAATGCCTTCTAGAATCTTCCTTACAGTTCTTCAGAATGCAAAAATGTGAACAGGGTCTGACTTTGCCCTCAATAAACAGAAGACCATTCCCACTGTTGCCCTCTATGTGGGAAGCTGAGCTCATGCATACTTAATCACATTGATAGGATGGCTGCTATGTTCGATGGCCACAATGATGCCTCCAGAATCCAGGATGGTGTAATAGTGGGGCCCTTCCAGCATCTTTGTCCAGGAATATCCTCCATCATCTGAGATGTACACATCTGGTACCATCACTGAGATAGCATCCCCCACGCTACCTGCAACATAATCCACCATCTCATCAGCACACACCCTCAAAGAAAAGAAGAGGATTTACTGACAAGAGAACAGTTCTGAATGAGCTGATTATCTCCCATCAGACCTCTTACAGCAGAAAAGAAGGCCACCAAAACTTAGCATAGGAAAAGCCACATTGCTTTCTCAGATGGGGTCTATTAAAAATTCAAAGCATTATTATAATGCAAGAAGTTCTACCAAAGCCACTTGCAGTGATTTTTTTTCAAAGGTTGTGTTGAGATTTCTGTATGCTCAGCTACTTCTGTCATTGGTGGTGAAAGGGAGAGGTGCTTACCATGAGCGATGACTATGCCTACAGCATTGGGCTCTGAGAGTGGGGCCATAGGAACATTTAGCTTCTGGGAGATACTGTAAGAAGCATGAATATGAAGGCTGCACTGTGAAGAGAAACCAAAGCTCAGATTAAAACCAAAGGCACAATGTCCCTACTCATCTCACAGAGTATCCTATTAAAGCTTGGAACTTGACCCAGACCTTAGTGGGATAATCTGTTATTTATTTACTTACTTGTTTATTTTGGTAGGACTGAGGTTGGAACTCAGGGCTTTGTGCTTGCAAAGCAAGCTCTCTACCTCTTAAGCCACACTTCTAGTCCATTTTGCTCTGTTTATTTTAGAGATGGGGGTCTCACAAACTATTTGCCAGGGCTGGCTTTGAACCACGATCCTCCAGATCTCAGCTTCCTAAGTAGCTAGGATTATAGGTGTAAGCCACTGTAACCAATGGATAATCTGTTTTTTAAATTATAGTAAAATACACATTTTATAAAATTTATCATCTTAACTTTTTCTTTTTGTGGTACTGGGCTTAGAACCCAGGGCCTTACCCTTGCTAGGCAGGTGCTCTACCACCTGAGTCACACCTTCAACCTTTTTTGTTTCAGTTATTTTTCAGATGCCATCTTGCTTTATGCCCTCATTGGCTTGGTCACAGTCCTCTCAATCTTCACTTTCCTAGTAGCTAGGATTATAGGCACGAGCCACCATACCTGGCTCATCTTAGCTTTTTAAAGTATACATTACAGGAGTATTCAGTATATTCTTAGCTTTGTACATAACTTTTTCATCTTGCAGAATTGCAACTATCACCCTTTAAGCAACAAGACCCCAATTCTGCCTCCCTGTACCTCTGGCAACCACTGTTCTACTTTCTGTCTCTATCAGTCTGACTACTCCAGGTACCTCATTTAAATAAAACCATACAGTTTTTGTCTTTTTGTGATGGGCTCATCTCACTTAGCATAATCTTCCTCAAGGTTTATCTCTATTGTAGCATATGTCAGAATTTCTTTTTAAGGCTGAATAATATTCCATTGTGTGTATGCATGCATGCACTATGTTTTATTAACCAATTCACTTGTTGATGGACACTTGAGTTGCTTCTACCTTTTAGCTATTGTGAATCATATCACTATGTACATAAATGTACAAATATTTTTTAAGACCCTGTTTTCAATTTTTTTTTTCATTACTAGGGATTGAATCCAACATCTTATGTATGCTAGGCAAGTGCTCTACCACTGAGCTACATCCCCACCCTTATTCCTTCTAATTTTATATTGAGATACAGTCTTCCTGATTTACTTACTGTGGCCTTGAATTTACAGTCTTCCTGTCCCAGCCTCTTTGGTAGCTAGGATTACAGGTGTGAGGTGTTAGCTACCATGCCTGGCTCAATTCTTTTTTCTTTCTTTTTTTTAGTACCAGATTTGAACTCAGGACTTCATGCTTGAAAAACAGGCACTCTAACTTTTGAGCCTAACTCTGATCCAATTCTTTTTGCTATATATGCAAAAGTAGAATTGATGGATGTAGTAATTTTTTTTTTTTTTTTTGCAGTACTGGGGTTTGAACTCAGGGTCTTCAACTTGAGACACTCCACCAGTCCAATTTTTTGTGATAGGGTTTTTCAAGATAGGGTCTCCTGAGAAGGAATAAAAGGAATACAAATAGGTAAAGAAACTGTCAAAATATCCCTATTTGCAGACGACATGATCCTAAACCTTAAAGACCCAAAAAACTCTACTCGGAAGCTTCTAGACATCATCAATAGCTACAGCAAGGTAGCAGGATATAAAATCAACATAGAAAAATCATTAGCATTTCTATACACTAACAATGAGCAAACTGAAAAAGAATGTATGAAAACAATTCCATTTACAATAGCCTCAAAAAAAATCAAATACCTAGGTGTAAACCTAACAAAAGATGTGAATGACCTCTACAAGGAAAACTATAAACTTCTGAAGAAAGAGATTGAGGAAGACTATAGAAAGTGGAGAGATCTCCCATGCTCATGGATTGGTAGAATCAACATAGTAAAAATGTCGATACTCCCAAAGTAATCTACATGTTTAATGCAATTCCCATCAAAATTCCAATGACATTCATTAAAGAGATTGAAAAATCTACTGTGAAATTTATATGGAAACACAAGAGGCCACGAATAGCCAAGGCAATACTCAGTCAAAAGAACAATGCAGGAGGTATCACAATACCTGACTTCAAACTATATTACAAAGCAATAACAATAAAAACAGCATGGTACTGGCACAAAACAGACATGAAGACCAGTGGAACAGAATAGAGGACCCAGATATGAAGCCACACAACTATAACCAACTTGTCTTTGACAAAGGAGCTAAAAATATACGATGGAGAAATAGCAGCCTCTTCAACAAAAACTGCTGGGAAAACTGGTTAGCAGTCTGCAAAAAACTGAAACTAGATCCATGTATATCACCCTATACCAAGATTAACTCAAAATGGATCAAGGATCTTAATATCAGACCAAACTCTAAAGTTGATACAGGAAAGAGTAGGAAATACTCTGGAGTTAGTAGGTATAGGTAAGAACTTTCTCAATGAAACCCCAGCAGCACAGCAACTAAGAGATAGCATAGATAAATGGGACCTCATAAAACTAAAAAGCTTCTGTTCATCAAAAGAAATGGTCTCTAAACTGAAGAGAACACCCACAGAGTGGGAGAAAATATTTGCCAGCTTACATCAGACAAAGGACTGATAACCAGAATATATAGGGAACTTAAAAAACTAAATTCTCCCAAAACTAATGAACCAATAAAGAAATGGGCAAGTGAACTAAACAGAACTTTCTCAAAAGAAGAAATTCAAATGGCCAAAAAACACATGAAAAAATGCTCACCATCTCTAGCAATAAAGGAAATGCAAATTAAAACCACACTAAGATTCCACCTCACCCCTGTTAGAATAGCCATCATCAGCAACACCACCACAACAGGTGTTGGCGAGGATGCGGGGAAAAAGGAACCCTCTTACACTGTTGGTGGGAATGTAAACTAGTACAACCACTCTGGAAAAAAATTTGGAGGCTACTTAAAAAGCTAACATTGATCTACCATTTGATCCAGCAATACCACTCTTGGGGATATACCCAAAAGACTGTGACACAGGTTACTCCAGAGGCACCTGCACACCCATGTTTATTGCGGCACTATTCACAATAGCCAAGTTATGGAAACAGCCAAGATGCCCCACACTGACGGAATGGGTATCTAACAAGGAAATGTGAAGTATCACGCTGGTAAATGGATGGAATTGGAGAACATCATTCTGAGTGAGGTTAGCCTGGCCCAAAAGACCAAAAATCGTATGTTCTCCCTCATATGTGGACATTAGATCAAGGGCAAACACAACAAGGGGATTGGACTTGAGCACATGATAAAAGCGAGAGCACACAAGGGAGGGGTGAGGATAGGTAAGACACCTAAAAAATTAGCTAGCATTTGTTGCCCTTAACGCAGAGAAACTAAAGCAGATACCTTAAAAGCAACTGAGGCCAATAGGAAAAGGGGACCAGGAACTAGAGAAAAGGTTAGATCAAAAAGAATTAACCTAGAAGGTAACACACACGCACAGGAAATCAATGTGAGTCAATGCCCTGTATAGCTATCCTTATCTCAACCAGCAAAAACCCTTGTTCCTTCCTATTATTGCTTATACTCTCTCTACAACAAAATTAGAGATAAGGGCAAAATAGTTTCTGCTGGGTATTGAGGGGGGAGAGGGAGGGGGGAGTGGGTGGTAAGGGAGGGGGTGGGGGCAGGGGGGAGAAATGAACCAAGCCTTGTATGCACATATGAATAATAAAAGAAAAAAAAAAAAAAAAAGAAAATGTGGTATCTATACCACAATGGAATTTTCTGCAGCCATGAAGAAGACGAAATGTTATCATTCCGCTGGTAATGGATGGAATTGGAGAACATCATTCTGAGTGAGGTTAGCCTGGCCCCAAAGACCAAAAATCGTATGTTCTCCCTCATATGTGACATTAGATCAAGGGCAAACACAAACAAGGGGAATTGGACTTGAGCACATGATAAAAGCGAGAGCACACAAGGGAGGGGGTGAGGATAGGTAAGACACCTAAAAATTAGCTAGCATTTGTTGCCCTTAAGCAAGAGAAACTAAAGCAGATACCTTAAAACAACTGAGGCCAATAGGAAAGGGGACCAGGAACTAGAGAAAAGGTTAGATCAAAAAGAATTAACCTAGAGGTAACACCCAGCACAGGAAATCAATGTGAGTCAACTCCCTGTATAGCTATCCTTATCTCAACAGCAAAAACCCTTGTTCCTTCCTATTTGGATTGCTTATACTCTGTCTACAACAAAATTAGAGCTAAGGGCAAAAATAGTTTCTGCTGGGTATTGAGGGGGGGGGAGAAGGGGGGTGGAGTGGTGGTAAGGGAGGGGGTGGGGGCAGGGGGGAGAAATGACCCAAGCCTTGTATGCACATATGAATTAAAAAAAAAAAAAAAAAAATAGGGTCTCCTGAACTATTTGTCCAGGCTGGCTTCAAACCTCAATCCTCCTGATCTCTGCCTCCTGAGTAGTTAGCATTACAGGTGTGAGCCAACTGCACCCAGAAATTTTTTTTTTTTGGGTGATACTGGGGTTTGAACTCAGGACCTCCATGCCCACTAGGCAGGTGCTCTACCACTTGAGCTACTCCATCAGCCCCTTATTTTTAATTTTTTTTTAAGGAACCACCACAATGTTTTTCATTATATGTAAACTATTTTATGTTCTCACCAACAGTGTACACATATTCCAATATTTCCCACATCTTCACCAACATTTATTATTATTTTTGAATAATGGCCATTCTAATATATATTAGAAGGTATCTTGTGGTTTTGATTTGCATTTTTCAAATGACTAGTCATGCTGAGTTTCTTTTCATATCCTTGTTAGCTAACAAGTTAGCTACTTGTATATCTTCTTTGTAGAAATGTCCAAATATTTTGCCTATTTTATATTCAGGTTAGTTGCTTTTATGCTATTAAGTTTAGGCTCACTGGGATGCTCTTTCTGGTGAGATACTGGGGTTTGAACTCAGGGCTTCGCACTTGCAAAGCAGGAGCTCTACTGTTTGAGCCACACCTCCAGTCCATTTTTCTCTGGTTATTTTGGAGATTGGGGTTCCATAAACCATTTGCCCAGGCTGGCTTT